ATATTGTGGATTCATCCGCATTTTACTGCTGAAGGCAACTTGTCTGTATTTTCCACATATATATTAAATCTGTTTGAGTGCTTAATAATAGACCAGAAATTTGCTGGTCTGATGTGATATGTTCTTGTGGTTTGTGTATTGGTTTAAATTATCAAAGTTTTAACACCATTTGCTTTTATTCTAGAATATTTATTTCTTGACTAATGTACTCTAAACTATGCTTTAACTTAAACAGATTTCCCATTTTTATGATTTTGCAATTAGGCATAGAAAACCTTTTAAAACCTACAAAAAAGCACATTTAAAGGATGTATGTATGCACTTTGTTGTATTACGAGTCACGTGTGTTTTCATAGCTTGCAGGAGTTTCTTTTCTGGTAAACAAGTTTGATCATGACTATCAATTGTCATGCTTGACTGACTCGATGCTTCTTCATCTCTCCTCCTACATTTTGTTATTCATGAGGTCGTTTGCATTTCTAGTGAAAGTTTGTCTCTGGAAGGGAACAGTGTGTAAAATGAAGCATTGACAAGAATGACAATTATTGTGTGGCAAAAAATACTTCTCATCTTTGCTTGTAAGCATCACTGCCTTTTTCTTTCTTGGTATCCCAAAAAAGACACTGTTCTGAAATCAATGTTATCCAATGTTATTACTGACTCAATTTCAAAACAACTAAAGGAACTGCAAAAGAAGCATTAATTTCACATCTCCTAGCACTAATGGAGATGCAGATATTGTTCTGACAAGTGCAGCTGTGAGCCAGAGTCAGAAAATACAATAATTGTTACATATCAGCCGAACACCTGCAAGAGATTGTCTTCAAAAAAAGTTAATTTAACTGAAATAATAATGATAATGATAAAGATAATAGTTGTCTTACAATAGCACTAACACAATGAAACATTATGAGAATATGTCCTCTTGTCTGAAGAAGGGGTGGGCAGTCCTGGTGCTGGAGGACTGGCCTGTCTGCAGGTGTTCAAAGTCTCTTTAGGGGCTCTGGAAGAAGCAGTTAAACTGGACCAGTTATGCCGATTTCCAGCTGGTTTAACTGAAGAGCTGAGTTAACCTTCAACTGATACTGATAACCTTCAAGACCAGGATAGAACACCCCTGATCTAAAGATTTTATAATACCTTCACGCACTGCATCTAACTCAGATATGTATTTGTCTATTTAATTATTGGCTTATTTTGCTCAAGAGGTATAATGGTGAGTTGCTTATCTCAAAGGCTCACACTCTATTCGGCAAACTCCTTTAAACCTACACTTGTTTTTCTAATTAAAACATGCTTAACCAGTGCAAAAGCATACTTTGTATATATGCATGTTACCCAGATATGCATGTACATATATGCTAAGCATCTTTACATTTTAGTGTATATTTAAATATAGTTGATTTGTTTTTGTTAATGGTATAGATATTGTTAATCTATTTTAAAGGCATAAGCATGTATGAAACAAGGCAAATAGATTTATTTTTTAAAAACACATTGTATGATTATTGATATATACCTTTATTAATATTTGTATTATAATCTTGCACAAACATTAGCAGGCAGATAGTTGCTACATCCATCAAAATTCAATTGACAGACTAAACTGTTCTGGATCTTTGATGTGAACCCAAGAGCCTATGAACACAAAGACTCAAGGGTGGTGTTCCAATCTTAATTCCCTCATTGCTTCTAGCTAGATAGTAACCCTTTCAGAAAAAAAAGATTGAGACCTGGTGGCCTAAGGGACTCATCCGACAAGAGAGTTAAAAGTGTAGGGTGACAGCACGCACACAGCAAGCCCACAGAGAGCACACTGACAGCCACTGCAGATATTATGGCGTGTGCAAGGACAGCCAGAACAATCAGAATACAAAATCATTCCCCACCCAGATAACATAGAAAAACAACCCAGGTTTTAATCACCCTGAAGCACCTTTTTAAATGGGACTTTATGGCTTTTCGTTCGCAACTTGCTACTATGTGCTAATGTCTTCTCATACCTAAATAAGAAAAGAATGTTAACCTTTTATTTAGCTCAGGTTGCGGATTTTATATTCCATTTTATTTTATCTCAAGTTATTGTTACATTTTGTTCACAATTATTGCATCATTTTGATTTTTTCACTTTGATATCACTGTATAGATATGCAATTTAGGAGGATAAAGAACTGGGATTCATTTAAAATTGAAGTGTTCATCTTGGTTTGCTCTTTGCCTTTTATTCAAGTAAAACGGAATCGAAAGTAATACTGCACCTGAGTGCTGATCCTCTTTTGTGATTTTGAGCGAGGTGGAAAGCAGGAGCCCAGCAGTATAGCAGGCATTGAGAAGAACAACAGCCCCCATTTAGATCAGTAGGTGTTACCTTGTTTTGTCTTGCCATGCTGTCTGATGTGAATGCTGCTTTAGCATATTTACACATCAGCTACAAAAAGACAGCTCTCTCGGTTACTTTGAATACTTTGTTTCTGAAACAAAAGCTTGTCGGGCCTACCTAACTTAAGATGTGTTGCCCCCCTTTTGTTTAGTGTTGAGTTAAACATGAAGCACTTGTAGTTTGGATGTGTAGAAGTTCACTGTGTGCACCCAATGGTATCCCCAGTGAGCATCAGACTCGCACGGGCATTCAGAAGCATGAATTGTGCACTCAGTGTCAGATGTCAGGGAAATCTTTTGTGCAGAGCAGGGGTTTGTCTTGCAGGTAAAAGCTTACAGAAAGCACCATGATTAACGTGAAGTAGACAAAACCTACCTTTCACAGCAGATTTCTATGCTATGACTAGTAAATTGTTGCTTAGAAAGAGGATGGCTGCACTTTTCTCATACTAATATGCGATTCAAAAGGAAAGTATATACCCAGTACATTAGAGCTCGGAGCTCAAACTGTGCATGAAAAAGTCTGAAAGATTCCTGAAAATGACCTTTTTTTTGTCTTTTGAGAACATGACTGGGAATGCTGCCAGTGGAAATGTATAGTATATTGAAATGCCAGCTATAGAACGAAGCAACAATGTATGATTAACTTCAATAGCCCAGCAATAAATGAGGTCTTTTGTAAAAATCGTAGTAGAGAAGGCATGCATTTCTGAAATTATTTGTATGAACATATGAACCTCCATACAGTGATTCACCCTCTGCAATAAATTTAATGCATTATATACAACGTGCCACTGCAGATGTTTTGGTGGAACAGACACATTTATAATACTGTACTAATAAAGTAATTCACAAAGCAAGTTTGAATGCTTAAATATATAATTTTACAATACAGAGCCTCCTGAAAGCAATGTCCCCAAGTTGAAAAGTAAATGGAGTGCAATTGGAACAGGTAGACTTAATCTACCTTAAACATATACTATACATATAATCTATACTCAAGCCTTTCTGTTTCCTTACCTCACCATTATCCTGCGACACAACCCAATTTTTACCCTATATCTTATTGAAGGGTTCTCCTTAAAATAACTTATGCTTAGTACCGTCACTTTTTATTTCAATGGTACATTTTTAATGTTGTGAACGTTCAGTAGTGATGGAATGCATGCCTGACCGATTCAACTTTACTACCAGGGTGATTTAGAGGTCTGCTGTCAGGAGCTTTGCTCTCCTCGTAGGGTTGTCTAAGTTGAGAGGCCAGACAAAGAACGATCTAAGCAAGATTCCCAAGATGATTCCACTACAAACTGAAACTGGAAGAATGGCCCTGGGGGTAGCGTTCACAGGCAAACTCAGCTTGAAATGGCAACGTGGAGCTGGGTGCGATGCCCGTCGGGCGACAGCCATTAGCAGGGTGGATCTGAATGGACTAGACCTTGGCAATGGAAAATATATTGTATATGTTCTCATAAAACCTCTTTTTGTATGTAATTGGAAATGGAAAGGAGGCAGGTTTTTCAAAACGTGCTGCGCACCACCTTGTTGTGCTCTGTAGTCAGTCATTTGATTAATAGTCTAGAAATGCCATTCTCTGAGAACTAATTACTTTGAATTTGCCACCTTCAGCATTTTAGATAATGGCATGTAAAAACCAATATGAGTTTGGTCTCAGTAAGATTCTTTTTTTAAGCTTTCAATGGCTGAACATTGTCATTTGTCACAGTGTGATGGGGTCTGCAAAGGACCATTCAGCACTGTTCCAAACATGAAGCATTGGAATTGACTTTTGCATTAGCTGAAGCATGAGGCAATTAAAGCAGTAAGAAGCTAGTTTGCTGTAGCTACACATTGAACAGAAATGCTATAGATGTTGAATGGTCTAGTGAAGTGAAACGACTGGATAGGCTCATGCTGGCAGTGGAATTTTCTTTTTTAGAGTTTTTTTCTTCTTTAATGGTGCATAACATTTGAGACATGGGGGGCATGATAATGAAATGACACTTTTCAAGTTATACAGAGTTTTTTCAAAGCTGATTCTATGTGGCATATATCTTTTAAACTGAAATGTAAAAGACAGACAGGAGCTTGCAAAAATTTGTTCCTTAAACCAAGTTGCGTTTTTTTGCTGAAATGTACAAGTATTTTCTATTTAGATCACTTCACCTGATCACTTATTTTATTCTTGCCAATTAACTGTTTAATGTGCTATTTAAGATATTAAGACAATAAGAAAGCTATTAAATAAAGCATACCTGTTTACCTTGGTATATTAACCTTAAGAAGACAGTATTTTATTGGTAATATAAAGCTATTGGTATTTACACTGTCTAAATGGCAAAAGAAATCTACTTGTATTTATACTGTTTTAATGGCAATATAAATACAAATTCAAATGTTTTCCTTTTGCACACCGCACTTTCCATCCATAAAGTATAATTTCAATTTCATTTTGCCATCACATCTCTAGGCTCCATAAAATGCAGGGAGAATATATAAAACTAATGTAATGCCTGCCTGAACTTGCAAGTATACTGAACAAAATGAAAAAGAGGTTCAGATCAACCTGGGAAATTTACTTGAAATGAATGCTGTAAACATTCTTATTCCTTTCATTTTGACAGGTTATATTTGAAGCTGAAGTCTCAGATGGCAAGACTGGTTACATTGCAATTGATGACATCCAGGTTTTGAGCTATCCATGTGGTAAGTAATTATAGTTATGGTAATTATTGTGCTGCCGGGTGCTTGCATGTACAAAATGAAGACAAGTAGGAAGATGACACTAATGGTAGGAGAAGGGATGGTCAGAATGCACCGCTGTCAAGCTAAATGCAGAAAATACTAAAGAGGCCAATGCTTACCTTCCGTCCATCAATTTTCTTAATAATGTGCCTCTTTATCAGATGCCTATATCTAGGGTGACTTGCAATGCATGCAAAATTTACATTCATAATAAAACACTTTTCGTCCTAGTACTGTGCATCTGGGAAGTTCTTCGCACTTCCTCCACTGCTGACAGCCAACAAGCCCCAGCAGCCCCCCTCCTGCGGAGCAGGGATCTGGGGGCTGGAAATGGTTTTGGCTGCACAATTGAGAGTGAACTTGAGAAAGGCCAGACTGGGGTTCTTCAAGGATAAAAAAAAGTAACAGGTTAAGAACCCTGCTCTTCCAGTCACTGTCATGGCATCTTAAAAAACCCAAGTAGCCAGTCAGGACTATGGTTTAACATCTCCGCCAAAAGTGTAAATACATGAGATGTTCATGCACAATAAAATGAAATTAATATAAAGACAATTATTGCACAATAAGGTTGAAGCACAATGCAAGTGCTGTCCTAAACTAAAACCGCTGAATGAAATCAGATAATTCACCTTTGTAACCATTAAATTGTAAGGAATAAAATGTAGATTTCTGGATATTTTGTAAACATTGACTCATTGTTACTGTGTCTACTTGCTTTGTGAACAAACAGATACAGATATTTGAACCAGATATCTGGACTCGAGACCAGAGGGTCATGGGTTCAAATCCCAGGTGGGATGTTGCTATTGGTAACTCTAATTGCTCTGGTTTGACTGTCTCCAAAATAAAGGAATTAAAAAAGTGTTAGTCTACCATGTCATCAGAAGAAAAACTGCATGTTATGTGTGAAGTTTTAGGCTTGCTTGGTCAAAGGAAGCGATTAAATACCAGAACAGAATTGCTGATAATGGAAGACAAAGATCATAGATGTATAGCATTGTATTAAATTTTAGATCCAATTACAGCACGACTAGGATGTGGGTGATCATAAAATAATATGATTTCCAAATGCCTGCAAATGTCATGAAGGCTAAAGCTATTACATAAAATAATGAAAAGGTATCCCAATTAATATAATTAGCCACAGGGGGCTTGGAATTTGAACCTTGGAGAAGAGAACTCTTAACTAGGACTATAATCCTTTTGAACAGTGCAATAAAGCTTCATTGTATTAAATGGTGTGATTAGTTGTGACAGTTAATTAAAATGAAATAGTGGGTGGATAAAATCACTGGTTAAGGGATCACATATAGTTTAGCAACTGTTGAAACTACTGTTTTGAGCTGTATCCTATGAAAAGCACTTCATGTTTATATAAAATGACAGTTAGAGAGTACAAAAAAAGCATTAGCTCACACAATCCTCTGCGGACTGGAAGTGTGTATAAACTATCGAATTGATCATTTGTTCAGATTAATTCAACATCTCCAAATATATTCACTGAGTAGGTTGATTTTAGTTTTTTGTAAAAAATGCTTGTATTAATGATATTTTGTGTAACTGATAGTTATTCTGAATTATTCAGCCTCTATGTTTATATTTCTGTTGTTTCCATATAGTTATCTGTGCACATAATTTTCTGTTACTTTCAGTCATTAATAAAGTTCAATATTCGCTTGACACAATGGGTATACATCACACTTACATATTTTTTCCAATTAGGCTAATGGACCGTCATGTTTCAGCGGAGAAAATATTTTTTGATGAAGACCTTTTGCATGAGTTAACCTACTTATGTATATTTAATGTGCATTGCCTATATTAATGATTAAGAGCACAGAAAATGCTAAGTGCCCCATATCAAATCAATCAGATTTTACAAATCATTTAAGCAGACTAAACATTTGTTAAAAGTATGTTATAAAAAGTTAACTTGTGAACAGCTACAATAATAGGGCATAATAAGATCTCAGTATCTCCAGTGAATCTTTAAAGTCTTTTCACCTACATCTGAAGGTCCTTAATATGCATGGAGCATAAGTTGTGCTATAGACTTTTTGCCACTTGTTCAAGTTCAACTTCTAGTTTACTGAATAGACAGTTCTATACAGTTGACAGTAAAGTGCGTAGTGCTGAAATTACTTTCGAGATTGAAAAGGTCCCAGAAAGGATATTTCTATAAGAACCAATGAAGGTAAGTGTCATTATACATTGTTATGTATGTATGGTGGCCCACAAATGCTATCAATGAATTTATAGAGACTGCACTTGAGAATTTCTGCAGCTCATTAAATTTTCTTGTGGACACAAAGTTTGTTGCTGCCTGATTTCCCTATTTAGATATTGTGCTCGAGAGAGTTTCCTGACACGGTCCATATGTATGTATTCCATTGGTCTGTATTATCTTGCTGCTGAATTCTGACCTCATTTAGAATGGTCACTTAATGTCAGTAAATATGTGGCGGACCCTTGGAATCTAGCTGTGTCTAAGCAACAGAATGTCATAGTGTTTCATTTCATGAGCTTTTGCATTTTGTTATTAACTTGATGATTACATTTATTGAAATTTGTCATTTAAATTTAGTTACTCATTTGTCACAGTCTGATATTCCTGAATGGATACAAGCAGGTTGATTATGGATACCTTTTATCTATGGTTTAACCCTTCTGATCTCAAGGGTAGAATTTCAGCAGTCCATAAGGAAATAATAAACAGGCTACCACTGCCCTTTCAGGAGGCAAGTTAGCAAGTAACTGCAGCGTAACCTTTCAGTGTTGTGCAGAAAATTTAAAATAGTGTTATTGCACTGTTGCAATAGGGATATCTGTGTCTTCTTGCTTAAAGCCTCTGTAGACCCAACAGATCAAAACATTTCAGTTTTAGTTTGCCTCGGTTGCTTTCAGAATGGTGAAGTTAAAATATGTATTTATGTGGTCTAATTTTATCTAAATGTAGATTTGTCTTATTAGTTTAAAAATGTGTGGCTGTTTCAAAATTCTGTATCTCCACTTTTTTCCTCTTGCTGAATTTCAGACTTCATCAGGGCATCTGTTTCATGTTTCAGCCAAATTATCATGAATAATCCAAGTGTTATTCCAAAATGTTTGGTTACTACTTTTCTATTCACGTGGAGTGTTTTTTTTTAAAAGGCATCATATAATTTGAAAGAATGTGATTTAGAGAAGAGATGTGAGAAACCTGTGTAATCTGTATTTATTTTAATTTGAATTGAGTTGCTTTAGTTCTTGTACTAAAAGTACTTTACAGTTTCATAAGCTTACACTGCCCATTGCTTCTCAGGAGTCCAGTCTTCTATCTATCTACTCTATCTAATAGTCTATCTTTTGACTTTTTAGATATGCTGTGAAACACAGATGCCAGCTGTGATGTATAAACAAACAACAAATAGAGCTGTATTACCATGTTTCTCAAATTCTTGCATAACAAATATGCAGTCGTAACATAGAAACAAAATATTTACGTTAGAATGGCTGCAAAGGAGATTGCAACCATTACAGCCTTTCTAACTCATGTGGTTTTTATTGACTGATTGATCTGAGGAATGTAGATCATGATAGAAGCAAGGTATGAGCTGTTTCTACCGGCTGTTTCTGCCACAACCCTTAGTGCAAAAGAGTGTCTGCTCTTCTCCGTTTCCACTCTGTGAAACATAGTGGTGATTCTGCAATGGGGCTGACCTGCTTTAGCCCTTTTGAGTTGTTGAAGGTGACTTCAAAGGAGCAGAGAGACAAGACAGATGCCAAGAAAAATGATACCTGGTGGCTCTAGATTTGTTTCATCTGCCTATAAAAATCAGTAACAGTAGCAGCAACGTTTCTACAGTTGGAAAAGACCACAGAGCTGGATGGCCTTCACAGTCCCCTGACCTAAATTAAATGTTAAAGGTAGAACTGCAGGAATCTACTGCTGCTAAGAAACCTGTCAGTCTTACTACAATCATGCACTGTGTTTGTGTCAAAGGAAGGGGGATAAATGGCACAAAAACTGGAAACTTCTCCCAAGCTGAAAAAAGTGCTGTAATGGATGGCGAAGTGGACCACACTAAAGTTTATCTAACTTAGCACGTGTGATTGACATCTATGCACAGTATCATTTTTGTAATGTAATTTTATTTTCTTGCTTTACTTCTTTTTTTAAATGAGTATGAAGGTAAAAACTGCAAAAATGGTTTTTTGAACAGTTGGAAGTTTCAAGGCATTTTTTTGCAGAAGTTAATGTCCTTTGTTTAGTTTAATACTCAATTGAAGTAAAAAATAGGCATCGGCACTCATAAAAGTTGCCAGTGTCAAAGTACACAGAAATAAGTGAAAAAGGAAAAATAAGAGAGAGTACACCCTTCAACATTTAAAAAATAAAATTCTTTTAATTTTTATTTTGAAATATTACAATCTGCCTAAGACCTCAAGACTAAGATCAATTAACTGCAAAGAACAAATAAATTAATTAAATGTGACCTTGAAGCTAATTCAGTTTTAAATGACATAGTAGATCACAACATTTTCTTGTACATTCTTGTAAGTGTCACAAGGTTTTTAAAATGTTTTATCTACCCAAGTATTTCAGTCTATTGTGTGTCCATTCATGTCTTAAGTAATTTTTATTCCAAACTGTAGTGGGCAGCTTTCATCTGGCAAATGAAGTAGTCATTATAAATAGCTGCTTGACAACAGAAGCTGGTATAAAACCGCAGGCAACATTGATCATGCCTTTTATGTTAAATTTATGAGAACTGTAATTGTTTTTTCTTGTAGATAAATCACCACACTTTCTACGACTTGGGGATGTGGAAGTTAATGCAGGGCAGAATGCAACTTTCCAGTGTATCGCTACTGGGAGAGACGCTGTGAATAACAAGCTTTGGCTTCAGGTAAGAAACAAGCAGAACAGGAATTTGTAAAAGGGGAAGGTCAGCTTGTCCTGACTGGGAAGGACAGACGAGTAATACCCTAAACAAACTTAAATATCCTTTATTAAAGGGAAAATCTCTAAATTTGATAGCTGGCAGGTTGAAATCTCTGCAGTTATACAGCTTTCTTACTGAAGTACACATCTTATCAGTTTGGAGTAGTGGCTCTGACTCTGCACTCATAACTCAAGGGTTTTGGGTTCAAACACTGCGAAGGGATTCAAGGTACTTGACTTCGATTTCTCTAGTGAAAGACCTGACTGTATAAATGTGTGCAAATGTAATTTGTGATGGAATTGAAGCAGTCACATAAATCATCATAATAAAGTAAACATATATCTAAGTAGACTTATGGAAAAGCAGTATAAAAATGTTGCAGTTGCTGGTGTCTTCAATATCCACTTCTAATGTGGAAAAAATAATGAAAAATGCCTACATTTCAATTACAAATCTAATAAATCCACAGAGTATTAAGTGACAGTGGTCTTCATCTGAAATTTTGTTTTGTAAACTATTTCTGACATGTAAACACTACATCACTCAATAGTACGGTGATTACACACCATCACCAATTGTACGATGATTAAAACTGTGATTCTGACTCATGGCACATTGTTCCTTTTTAAAAGCAGGAAAGTTCCTGATCTATAACCTTTATGAAGAAAGCTTTAGTTGAGCTGGTTCTTTCTGTGAGTGGCAGGGCAGGAGAAACTGATAGGTCACAAATAGCTGCTGCCTATTAGTATTGTGTCTGGGTCAGTGGAGCGTCATGATTTCTGACTCCATTTGCAGCCTGCTAACATCTTGATTTAGCCGATAGGGTAGAGAAAAAATGCACTAGGGTATTGACCTTCCACACCATTCGATGGACCTGCTGCCAAATTATATATCTAATGGCGGATTCTACCAGCAAATTAAATCTGTGCCTTTTTCACCTGGGTTTTAAGGAAGATCTAGGGTCTCAGTGGAGGGTATTGAGCTGTAAATGAAAAGAGTGGCACTTAAATTGATTTGAAGTTATGATGGTTTTTACCAGAGCTTGAATCTCATCCTCCACTTGCCTCTCTAATGCTTCTCTTAATGATATCTGTGTCGCTGAGGTCAGGCGGTTTTTGTGGTCGAGGGGTGGTTATTGTCAAGCCTTCTGCAGCCACTGCCGATGTAATGATAGGCAGGCTGCAGGAGAGTTGCACATAGATGGCTGAGTGGGAAAGTGGATCAGGCTAAATGACCTTTTCTGTGAAAACAGGCTAGAAGGTGAAAATGTAAAAGAGAAACTACTGCTGCTGGATAGTTGTCTCGAAGTTTTTCACACAACACATGTTGAGCAGATGTGTCATTTACAATTGTGCTGAATTGTCGGGTTTAAAAGGCCTCTACAAGTTATCTTTCCCGCTAGCTAGACATCAATGATTAATGAATTTTTACGCATGCAAATATATTATTTGATTTAGAAAACATTTACTAGGGAAGTTAATATAATTTTGAATAGATCTGAAACACTTATTTAATAATTGTATTATTATTGTTTTTTAATTCTGGAATAATTCCCAGTTCAACATATACCTTGTATTTCACATATTAAGAAACAGGAAAAGTTATCCATTGAAACTGAGCTATTTAAAATAACAATTTGTAAGTTTTGTAATGATAACTTGTATTTTTTAGATCTTTCTTTACAGATATTTATGATGGTTATTATAATAAAGATAGACTTTGTAAAAAAAACACATTAATTGAAAAATTCTTATTGTGAAGCATCCACTCATATAGATTTCTTAATTTAAGAGGTATTTGGAAATTCTAAACATTGCATAGTAGCTTAAAGCTATATTAATTTAGATTTAAAAAAAAAAACTATTTTGGGAAGTACTCCTTCCCAAATTTCGGATTTACCGGTCTTAACTTTTTGTTGTTTTTCATTGTTGTAGAGAAGGAATGGAGAAGACATTCCAGTGGCTCAAACAAAGAACATCAACCATAGGAGATTTGCTGCTTCATTTCGGCTAAAGGAAGTGACCCATCTTGACCAAGACCTGTATCGCTGTGTGACTCAGTCTGAAAGGGGCTCTGGAGTGTCAAACTTCGCTGAACTCATTGTTCGAGGTACCGTATCACAACTTCCAATTTGCACTTTTTTTTTAGGATAGGACCCTTCAGAAGTGCAACATTTTCTGCTCTGACATATGCGTGTTTCATTCCCTACCTGCACTTTAATGGTTTCTGTATGAGGCTGATCTTACTATAGGTGCTATTATAATGACCTCCTATAGTTTGTATTTGTAAAACTTATCTGATGTATTACTGTTTTTGTCCATCCAAGGAGAAGATAATTTATTGTACCTGTGCCAGAAATGTGAGATTGGTCTGATTAAGAAAAAACAATCAAAGCACACCTCATTCATAGAGACTGTCTATATTTCTACAAATAAACACACAAACATAGACACAAAAATGTATGTACATGCATTTCAGTCTCAGTCTCCTGACAGGCTTTTGATCTCTGGCTTCCAGACCTTTCAGATTCCATTTAAAAGTAAATCTAAATAGAAATCATTAACATTCTAATTATGAGATAAAAGTATAACTAAACATTATTAAAACATAAGCAGAACCACAGAAAACATGTGCACTTTGAAGAAATACAAATATAATTTGATATAATATGCAAGCAAATATTACCAAAGGGAGAGTATTACAGAACATTTTATGTTGTGATATGTAAAGTATGTTTGTGTAAGTGATACACAAATTAGTTTGGTACAGATCTGAGGGCTTTTGGCTTCTAATGGACACTACCGAGTCTGGGATTTTCATACAATGTACTGGCTTTATACATTTTTTATCAGAGCAGAAGGATATAACAGTTTATTGTTTATCTGAATGACTGTAAAACAAATCTTATTGTTAACATGGGCCAGAGGCCCTGTGGGCAGACAAACCCTGGTGTTAAAACTAAGTTGAATATTAACTGCAGTGACAGGTCCTATATCTCACTGGCACTTTAAATCTGACATCCTGCTATAAGGACACAAAAGATGGTAATTTTAAAGGAAATTTTGGGGCCATTGATATGGATTGCCTTTAATAAGAGCTGGCATTGTGTTGCCTATTGTCGCTGATGACCCAAGGGTAACAGTTTATTAGTGGCTCTTCTGCCAAACTGGAAGTGACAGAGGATGCTTAGGGCCATTTTGGTTCTGTTTGTAACAAATGAAAATTTCAGTAGCAAATTCTTTCACCAAAGGAGTATTGATCTATGTGTCCTTAGAGCTGGAGGAAAAAACATGATGAAACACAGTTTACTTTGTCATGAGGTTAGTATTGCTTCCAGATCTTTTTGAGTAATGACGTTGCCCCTTGCTTGCACAGGCTAAACCTTATTGACAGTGTTGCTTATTAGAAAAGATTCCAAGACAAACACAGTCTCCTGAAGCAAATTCCAGCTTTATAAATTGATTTTTAACTTCAGTGGAGGGTTATTAGAATCTTCTCTCTTTAAAACAGTCATGTGGGACTCTTTTTAAATGAATGACTGGGAATTTTTTAAAGACTTATTTTCCTTTCCTAATGATTGCCAAAATAAAATTACGTGACTTACACCTTCTAGGCGTTAAACCTTATGAAATCATGAGTGTCTATAAGGTTATTCGTATTAAAAATTTATATTTTTAATATGTATCTGGCATGTTGAATTATTATTAATTTTAGTTACTGTAAAAGCTGTGGTGTCCTGTATATCCTTGATATACTTGATTTAAGACTTGATATACTGATGGTAATTCTTAACCTTTTGTTCTTCTGCTTGACACAATATTTTTCACACCTACAGAGATACCTGTCCCATTAAATCAAGATGCTGGTATTGCCATGCTATTTATTTCCCCAAATAAGTTGCCTCAGATCATCATAAAGTATTCTACTTTAAAAAGGCATATCGAAGTATTCTATTTATTAGGAAAACAACAAAAGCTTGGTTTTCCGTAGATATACACCATACATGTTTTCTTGAACCAATTTTTTCTTCTCATCATTTATTGTTACTGCACTTTTTTTATTACTGGTTTAAAAAATTGTCTCAGCTGCACATAAATACCAGTACTGTAATGATTTCTAAGTTGTATTTTGATGAGATACTTGGTCATCCACAGACTTGTGCTTTAATGAATGTGGAATGTTTGTAGTCTGGAGTGTGTGTCTTTGCGTAAAAGTAATATTTCTGTCTGTTTCAAATAAAAATAGCAGACAGATGGGTGGTAGATGCAACTGTCAAGCCCTGAGATGATGTGAAAATATTTGCTAAAATGTAGATTAATAACTTCTACCTGCCAACGTTTCTCCAATGAAGAAAGCATACTTCCTGACATCTGTGTGCTCAAAGAGAGATTGTTAAACTCAGCTGATGAGTCTGGATTGGTTGATGCCTTATAATGATGAAAACGGAGGAGCTTAGAATTCAGCATTGATGTCAGAAAAGGCAAAGTGTCAAAAAAAAGCTGTATATTAGAAATAATTTGAATAGGAAGTTAGATTCCAACGTGCCGCTAGGAGGGATTTTGATCATTGTGATTATCAAAGTTTCATAATGATTTTCAGCTGAAAAAAGAAACGTTCTGTAGTTTGGGCTGTGACTGGGCTGCACATTCCTCAATAGGAAATTAGCAGTTCACCTCCTAGACACTGATCTAAAATATGCAGAATTCCTTCAGAATTAAGAAATTGAGACAGAGGTTGAAGACCTCAGTCTTTCTGTTCCTCTAATACCTCAAGTCAGTTTGAGATTGCTGATTAGGCTGTGTTGTTTTAGTAGCAGTCCTTCCTCTGCCGTTTTATCCTCAAAGGTTGTCATTAGGTTCAATAGCTACACCAGACTAGAAAAAAATTCTGAATAAATGAAGTTGCTGTGCTACGCTGCTTTTTTGATCAGATCTTGCTCTCTTGGTGAGCAGAAGACTTTGTCGATTGGATCTGTAATAAAAGAAAATCAATTGCTATTAGTATGTCTCCTTAGGTTAAAGGCACTACAGGTTCGCCATCAGTTTTGGAGCAGTGCAGTGATACTTAGCAGCAAATCAGGAATGATGCAAAAGATGGATGAGACAGAGTTCAAGGAGCAGTAACGTGAGGGTCTAGCACTATCATTCCGGGCTGTCTCGGCAACATGATAGATGGGTTTGTAGGGAGAAGCAATAATACTAGATGATGAAAGATTTATCTTCTGCTTTTTTTTGCCATTTCACATTACCTGCAGAAACTCCAATGGCATTATCGTTTCTGCTTTGTTATTAAGAACCATGCTGCTGTTTTTGAGTAAGCAATGCAGAAAGTGTTGGACTGAGTTGTTTCACTACAACCATCAGCTTCAAAGGATGTTCGTATACGAGCTACTGCATGCTGTATCTTTTTAATTACTTGGCATTCATACTGCAGAAGAGGAAATGAAGGTTGTGCTAATATTGTAGGCAATTTGTTGCATCCCACAATCACATCTCTTTGTGTTCCTGATTTTATCAAGAAACTTGATAAATGAGCAAGTCCATTAGCTAAGTTAAAATGAAATGGATAATTGATTATGTCTACATTGTTGCTGATTTTCTTTTGCTATTATAATTGAGTTTATCTGGGGAAAATGTGTTCTGTAATAAACTGTGTGACCTCGAATCGTCTTATTTAATTACTTATCTAAACTCTGCTTGCATGGTGATGTATCTTGTTTGTTTGCAAGATACATATTTGTAAACCATTTTTAACATGAAATATTTCTCTGCCTGCAGGCTGTGGTGGAAAAGTTATGATAACATTTGTTAGCAGTCATTTATCTATTGAAAAGCAGAGATTCATTATAAAAATCGCTTGTGCCTTCAACTACGAAATGTTGTAGGCAAGTAAATTTGCAAGGAAAAGTGATTTGTTAAGTACTTGTAATATTACAAACAAATGTCACTTTACCTAACTTCATAATATTTAACTCTATCTTTTAGGAACATGTTTTTATAACAATATAATAAAACAAGTGGCTTAATATTGTTAGTGGTTACAAATGTGAATGATTTCCTTGTGACTAACAAATGTTGTATCAGCACAGATGTTGTGTACATCCCATGAGAGCCTGGTTATCCTCAGATTTTATTTCAAGGCTTCTATGTTACTCTGTATTGATTTGTGGTATTGTGCATGTTTGTGGCATCCTCATTAGTTGAGGTATCTAATCATTGAAGTAGTTGGTGAATTTGCAGTCTTCTTTTTGTTGCACCTGTTTGGCCAGCTAATTTTAATGGATTTTGCCTCCTCCTTAACCTTTGTTTTCCTTAAAAGGGACCTTTTTAATGCCTGTTAAGTTTTTGCACCAGTAGCACTGTTTTTTCCAAGATGCCTTATGGCCATTCTTATTTCCTTTTTCAAGATGAATCCTTATTGCATAGCCGTTGCGGTGTAACTATTCCTTCTTGATCAGACGTTTTCTTAAAGGGGAACTGCAGTCCCAATTTCTCAAACTGGTTATTAAATCCCTGTAACAAAATTCATTGGCAGGAGAGAAAAAAAAGGCGAATTTCAAATTAACCACTGAAATTGTGAACTCTGTGATAGTACTGCAAATCGCCATATCGTCGTAAACCCCTAGTCTCGCCACAGGCGACAGCAAGAGTTCCCACAAGTTGTTAAGTGAAGCGGCCCTTCCTGCTCACTAGTCACTGTAATTAATGTAATGCGATGTGTGAGCTAATTAAATACAGGATGTGCAGAAGATATTTCAACGCAGAAAGCTTCCAATGTGATCTGCATGCAGAGTTAACAAGTAAGTTCCATATCAGCAAAAGCGTCTTGAAGTTGAGAGCAATATTCCTATTGGGTTAAAAGAGATGTATTCACAAGTCTGCTTCTTTGCTATATGTCATAGGGCTGCACACATCGGCGTACGTTTTGTTGCCTCGTTCTGAACCATAAAAATTGCTCTGTCTGAGGTTTTACAAGTTACTGTGTGCAATTTACTTTTATTGTGGTTCAAAATGCACTCGCAACACTGATTCTTTTTAACCCCAAAATATAAAAACAGTGTTACAGTTCCCATACAAACACCCATTTATGTATTTTGGATACTTTGTAAT